CTCCTCCTCCTCCTCCTCCTTCTCCTACCCTTCCTCCTATTTGCATTTGTATTTTTACATGTATATTTCTGTTTGTGTTTGTTTTTTTATTTCCTCCAATTTGTATTTTTCAGTGATTTTTTAATTTTTAATTGATCGAATTCATCAAAATTCAATAATTTAATTAACACGTGATTCTCACCGATTTGTGCGTTGCAGTTGAAGGAGATGGAGAGCAAGCTGAATGACATGAGGAAGAGATCTCTCACATCCACCCGGTCACTGCCAACCATGGGTTCCACGGGAGAGATCGAGAGAGGTGAGGCCAGGGTCTGAGTCTACGTAACGAGAGTTGTAGGGGAAGGTCGAGTAGTAGGGCCACAATTAAAAAAATCTTCATTTGCCCTCACCCGACCCAGGCTGAAAAGTTTAGGTAGGTAGGCCTTTTTTGAGGGCGGGGGCTATTTACAAATTCGAGCATGGTGTCTACATGCTCCGGGTGTGCTTCGTGTAGACATACTTTTATGTTGAACTGTTTGTTTGGCTTGTTACATATACATGATTGCCTACAGACTTATATAATCGTACAGCTGATACAATTTGTAAAAAAAAAAGAATGGGAAAGATGCAATAAATTTTTTTGAGTCGGCCCCTTTTTGACGGGTCGGTCGGGGGAGGGCAAACAAACAATATTTTTATTATGGCCTAGAGGGTGCGAAGCTTCAATTAAATTCGTCGGGGGCACCTGTAGGAATGTGTAAGAGTAGAGGTCTCTCTGTCTCTCTGTCTCTGTCTTTGTCCGTCCCTCCTTCCCTCCCTCTCCTTCCTCCTCTTTGTCTCACCCCTCCTCTCTCCCTCCCTCCCTTCCTCGCTACCTGCATCCATTCATCCCTCCCTCACCTGTCTCCTCCTCTGACTCTCTTTCTCTCTCTCCTTTCTTTCTTCCTACCTCACCCCCCTCACTACCTGTCTCCCCTCTCTCCCCTCTCTCCCTCCTTCCTTTGCTATGTGTGTGATCTGTGTGTGTGTGTGCCGCAGTCACACTCCTCATGTTCCCCCTCTCTCTCCCTCTCACACAGAACCGAGCCAGGACAGTCTCCAGATGGCAGACGACGACGACGGTTGCCACGACGACCACGTCAACAACGACGCGGTTGCCGAGGACGACGACGATGCTGAGATCATGATCAACTTTCCGCGCGCGACGCTCGACCTATCGGAAATGTCGCCCGCGTCGGTGTCGCCATCTGTTGGCGGCGGCCGGCGTGACAGGAACGACGAGCACCTGCACAACCTTAGGAACCAGGTGAGAGTCGCAGCGGTTGTTCACGACGGTGTGTTCTTCGCTACGTCTGATGTTCGTGTGATCGCGAACGCGTGTTGTTCTTTACATGTGTTGTTTTCAGGATTTGCGAACGTGTGATGTTCTGTCTGTTGTTCGCACGATCGT